CCTCAAAAGTGTATGAGGTTTTATTTATTTACCCCTCCCTCCAAAAAAAAAAGTGATAATCAAAATGTCACAAAATTGCGAGTCTATTGGTGTACTTGTTGGCAGCCAAAGTCAGTCCGGTGTCACAATGGTGGTTTTTTTCTATTCAATTAGTTTCTGACTTCACAAATAGTTGAACAGTTTGTCTTAGTGAGTTTTTTATGTACTTTCCTCACAAGTCTTCTCTCTTCCATTCACCTTAGTTTGTGTGCAACCAATCATGATGTATGATGTCATGTGATTTGGGTTGTCCTGTCTGAACATAACCACGTGATTAAAAAACAGCGATTTTGTTCCTTTTATTGTCGCATTTGAATGACTTTGTCCCCACTACTGTCTCAACTAAACGTTTTATTAAGCCACACATGTTCAATAACCGAATTTTTAGTGATACTGTGGAGTAATTTGTATGTCGTCGTTGAAACGAAATCTCGCGTGTGCTCTTGTTATCGCGCATGCGCGTTCCTTGACCACTACAGGAAGCGAATTATGACGGGAGGAGAGTCACGATAACAAATAAAGTTTTAAAAGCGACAACAAAAGGACGTAGCTAAACTCCGGGAAGTTGCAGGGAATCCATCAGAAAAGGAATGGACCCGCTGGAGTGGTAAGACGCAACTGAATCTGAGCAATAGACGAAGAAAAATATCTAAAAAATTAGCCGCTGTTAGCGTAGTGAAGAGTCACAGGTGGATGAGTTTCAGCCGGGAGTTTAAGAAATTCAAGCACAGATGGAGACAACGCTTAATTAAAAAAATACATTATTGCTATATTACATTTGTCATTGTTTTTACCATCGCGTTGTTTTCCGATTTGCTACCACGGTTTTTTTGCGACGTTTGCAAACCTAAAGTCCTTCTCACTAATGAGTAGAGCACATGAAAGAAAGCAAATAACTCATCTTTAAGGATGCTAGCTGAACCGTTTGATCAAAATTGTTAATAATGGAAGGAATAATGGAACACGAATCACTCATTTTGCTCTTGTACTCCTCAAATAAAGTTGTGCAGTTGCACCCTACACAGACGAGACAAAGATCGTGATAATCATTGTGATATTGTTTCATAATTTTTGCAATATCCGTGTGAGAACAATAACGAAATCATACAAAATGATACAAAGAAAATAAAAGCTGTAAGTATTCCCCCCACCACACACACACACACACACACACACACACACACACACACACACACACACACTCACACACACACACACACGTACGCTTTTTTCCAACAACACTTGACATTTGATGAAAACACACGTTGCAAAATGAAACATTAAATGCAAACCTTTTTTTGTATTGTTGTGAAAGGATTAGAGAAGAAATCATCGATGAACCAATCTTCAATGTTTCTGAAATACTGACATCTCTCATGAGGCAAATAATAACACTGTCGCTCCGCATTTGCAGTCCAAATGTAGAGGTGGAAGAAACCAGATGTCGTCATGACAACGGCGAAGTTGCTAACAACAACAACAACAGTCGCAGCAAGGTGACTCACCACAGCGTTCTGCCTGCGCGCTGTCCGTCTGTGCCTACACGTCTGCCATATGTCTTTGTGTGCAGACGGTGAGTCCAGCCACCGGAGAACATCCTCTCCAGTACAACTACACATTTTGGTACAGCCGAAGAAGTCGTCCTACGAGCACGCAGAATTATGAACAAAACATCCGACGGATAGGCACTGTGGCATCGGTGTGTTTATACACACACACACACACACACACACACACACACACACACACACACACACACACAAGCACGCTCAAACATTTTTACTTCTCTGGATTTCCTTTTTTTTGTGTGTGTCTGAGTCCAGGTGGAGCAGTTCTGGAAGTTCTACAGTCATCTGTTGCGTCCAGGAGACTTGAGTGGACCCAGCGACTTCCATCTGTTTAAGGAGGGCATCAAACCTATGTGGGAGGTAAGGATGGACGTTGACGTCACAAATATACTTTCCGGGTGGCAAAGATTCTGCTAGTTATGCTGTTGTCTGTCATAAAGCACGGACTGACCTCACAATTGCGTCTTCGTCCTCCTTTCAGGACGAGTGCAACCGCAGCGGCGGCAAGTGGATCATCCGGCTTCGGAAAGGTCTTGCGAGCCGATTCTGGGAGAACATCATTCTCGCCATGGTGGGGGAGCAGTTCATGGTGGGGGAGGAAATTTGCGGTGCTGTCGTATCGATACGCTTCCAGGTATGAGAATACGATTGGGGTTCTGCCACTAACAAGAGCTTACGCAAATGTAATTAGTTTGCATACCGAGGAAATTACACGAAACTTTTTTTTTTAAGATCTTCCGCATTGATAATTATTAGGTTGAAAGTTAACATTCGATTTGCGTAAGCCATGGCCGTAGTTCCTGTATTTCATAATTTTAATGCTGAAAAATCCACAAGGAGTTTCTATTCAAAAATAATGACATAGGGGAAAAAAAGAACACAATATGTCCATAATCAATTTTAGTGCTTAAAAAAATAAATAAATAAATAAATAAATCATACAGATCTTTTGGTTTATTTTGAGAGTGTTATGAAAAAGCAATTGACACTGATTTGGTGGAATGGTCCATCTATGTTTAACGTCATATGCAAATTGATCTACGTACGTGTCTGTATTGAAAAGTCTAATGCACGCTCTCGTTTTCTTATTGCATTGACTAAGTATCAGATCGGAACTTGGTATCGGCAGATACTTAAAACCAAAGACTCGGATTCGGACTGGGGTGATAAAAAAGTGTGATTGGAACATTTTTTGTGACATTTTTGTTTGGTGGCGCGCCAAGAGATTTGCACGGTATTGGTGTTTAGATACAATCGGATCAAATAATTGACTAGAGTGCCATCATGTTCATGGTGAAAATATTATTTTGACACAAGAGGGAAGAAAGTAGACCGAAATAAAAGCTGTTTCAGATCAGGACCTGGTCTCTGGTCCCTGGTTGATTTGCAGCCGGCAGAAGCGTCTGTCCAAGCGAAATGAACCGTTTGTGTGTCCCAGGAGGACTTCCTTTCAATCTGGAACAGGACATCCAGCGATCAAACCACCACGGCCAGAATCAGAGACACTTTAAGACGGGTTCTCAACCTTCCTGCCAGCACCATCATGGAGTACAAGACCCACAATGACAGCCTCAGGTATGAATGCTGCAATGACTCAGGGATGAGAATTTTCAAATTTCTGACTTTTTCGGATGCAAATGACCATTCTCGAGATTGCTCCTACCGATTGACGTGCGCTAACGTTAGCATTAGCAGATGCTAAATTGGCCTGGCTCATCATTAATCTTTATTTATTTCTGTTTGGCATCAGCATCCAAATTTAATTTCACCGTGTGTTCTGTTTTAGGGACAACTCGAGCTTCAGAAACATGAAGATTTCCCACTGACGGTTGTCCCTGCTTGGCTGTCCTGTCCCATGCGTGGAACGGACTGCCCCTCATCATGCTCTTTTCTTGAGTTTTTAGCAGCAGATTGATTGTGTGTGGGTGTGCGTGCGTGCGCGCGTGTGTGTGTGTGTGTGTGTGTGTGTGTGTGTGTGTGTGTGTGTGTGTGTGTGTGAGATGGCACAGTGAACTGATTAAACCCAGTGGAAGTCATTTAACTGTTTTCTTTTTTTTTTTGCCATTCACGTTTGACTCTGTAAATGAGAACAACACTTATCTGACCCTCTTCCAGACCTCACCCGGCTGGGCTAATCCCATCTCTATTCCTGGCCGCAGACCAGCTGGGACAGTAGACCTAATCCAGATCTGGATTATTAGATTGGCTTTCAATGGCGAAGCACTGCACCCAGTGAAAGTCAGGTCTTGATCTAAACCAATCTGGAGCTATCTTCGCATCCGACTGTATCAGAGATTTCCAACCACTGTCTATCAACCATTCGGAGTGCCTCTGGGAAACGATCTAATTTCTCTTTATTGCTCGGAAATGTATTTGACACAAATGAAATTGCTTTGTAGCGTAGCCTGATTAAAAAGTCTGCGCAAGAATCGACAAAAATCGACTTTGAAGAGACGTTCAGTGGAGAGTTGTGCCTGCGCATTGGCTAATGCACACAATGTAGACTTCATCATATCCAGAAGTGGCAAAGGTCCTCACAGTCTGTATTTCAGTGAGAGTACAAATACTTGTGTAGAAAATGTATCAAATCTGGTTCAAAGGTACAAACTGAAACTTCGCTGCACACAAAACGGATTCCCTCTTGTTCGGTTACATATCATCGCTTTGCTAACATTGTCGAATGAATAACAAACCTATCGTTACATCTTATTAGTAAAGTTATATCTTCTGGTTTTACCAAAAATCGTTCTTATGGGCGACATATGGTGACCACCAGAGGTGCCATTGTAGTTACTTACCCCTGAAAACAATTGTCCTCTCTGTCCCGGGAGCTCAAACGCATGGAGTGAAAGCGGTGCGACATCACTTGTGTGTTTTCATTTAAAGACATGAAGAACCCACGTTTGTGTTTTTAGATTTTCGGTTTTATAAACAAGTATTCAACGATCGATTCCGTGGTTGAAAAAAATCAAGAAATTAAAAAAAACAAATAATGGAGTACTCGTGTTTGGCGGTTGACTCGAGGTGCGTTCAGTGACCAATCGTACAGTCGAACATCTCAACATCCATAGAAATTGTCCATCAATGCACACAACGGCAAGGATTCGTACGTAATAACATTGTAGGGGTTACGTGGAAAGATTTTATAATTAATAAATCGGAACAGCCGCGTGCCAAGTCAAGTTTCATGAGTTTGTTTTGAAAAACTGAACGCCCGCTAGACTGACACAATCTAAGATTTTGCTTCAATAATGTTAATGCTTAACGATGCACGTTTCTCAACGTCGCTGCTATCCGGCTTGCTCCCCCCGCCCCCTTATGATCTCAATCGAGATCTCCAATGCGGTTGACTTTTGCACTCTCCATTAGCACAAACCCAGAAGCATTTTAAATAAAATACGTAATGGTCCACTTTCCACCACTGCTCAGATGTTGTGTTGGATGTCTTAATAGCTGACTGGAAGGTCTGGCTCTGTTTCGCCAGCTCACCTTGCATTCACGCACACACACAGCCATCAAGCTCTCATTAGATGTCACCGAACCTAAACGAGATTAAAGTCAAAGCTTCTTTCGAACGCTCGCCGGCTCCTTCCGCCTGACTCAGCGTCAGTTTGCTGGTTTTTCTTCTGACAAATGAAGCTTGGAGACAAAGGTAAATAGTGCGTCCTTGGTACCGGGTTTTCTTTTACTTTTTGCTGAAATAATTGCTTGAAAAATGTCAAGTGCGTTTGATAGATGGAGGACATTTTTTCTGCTTAAAGGAGGTTGAATTACCGAAATTGGATGTTGAATATTTAGGCGCTGGCATAGTATGTATTATTTTTGTAGGCAGTAGAATCCCATAGGCCACAGACTGGATTATGACTAGGAGTTGTCTAGGAATATTGCTCTTTCTCATTTTTTGGGTCTTTAAACGATGGCCTCCTTGTGTTTCTTTTTTTCCGTGGAAGTCCATGGCAAGGGCTAGTCGTTTTATTGCAGCTGTGCAGGAATTTGGTGGAAACCGCTTTTGCGACAGCAGGTTTGACAGTCAGTCACAAGCGTTGTGTGACGTTTGCTGCTTGCTTGACTGCTCTGGTGAGGTGTTTAATCCTGTAAGGATGCCAAGTAAAAATATCCCTGAAACCTTGTTTAGACACACACACACACACACACACACACACACCGTTTTTAATTGGGTTTTTTTTTGGGGTTGTTTCCCTTTGTCTTGTAGATTGAGGATGCTGGCGCCCAGGTGGTCTCTGGGGCTGTGTTTGTGGTGGCTGAGTGTTGCAGAGGTTTGGACTGCTACCTTCAAGTTGGCTCTCATCGGTCCCTGGTCCTGCGATCCAATGTTCTCCAGGGCCATGCCAACGGCGGCGGCCAACTTGGCACTCTCAAGGTTACGGATTGACGCCAGCCTGAGCCGAGGGTATTGGTATGATGTCAAACTGTTGGATGAGGATTGTTCCACTTCCAAAGGTGTGTATCATTGCAATCGATTGGGGTATTCATGCTGTACTTATGTCATGTAATGCCCTCCCAAATGGGAAAGGGGGGCAACACTTGGGCCCCAGCGGAACAGTCAAACGGGTCATTCTATGCCAAATCACTCCAGTGAGTTTAACCAATCTGATTGGATTTGAATTAAACTTGCTGTACTTGTTCATCGTGATGGCAGAACACGAAACTTCAAATTTCCGATCAATGTGAGCAGTGATTTGGGAGCTACGACAGCCAGAGAATTTCAATCAGTTTGATCAAAAGGGGCGTGGCCCGCCTTCTTTTGAACCCGTATATCTATTCCTTGCACCAATCTTTTAAACGATTGCAGATTTGGATTCCTTGTGGAATTCCATTTCCAACGATACCTGTTTTGTGAAGGTTGATCCAGTAGTTCCTGAGATATAAGGAGTAAAAAGAAGACGGCCACGCCCCTTTTTGTCAAACAAATTAAAATTCGGTGGGCGATAGCTCCCAAACCCCGGACCTCCCATTGACTGAAAATTAGAAACTTAGTGTTGTGCCATCATTTTCAAGAAGTACAGAAAGTTTCGTTCAAATCAAAATCCGCCTCATTCAAATGTTCAGATTTTTTTTTTTTTTTTTGGGCTGTCTTGGCATAGAATGACGCAAACACAAACTCAGTGAGGACACTCATGCATGAGCTGCTGTTGGCCACAGCTCACACCCAGACACTCACATGCGGACCCACCAATGTCAAACGACACATTACCAGGCACTACCTCATCAAGGTTCATATTCTGCGTTTGTCATTCCCCCCCTTTGTGTTTTTATACATATTATCAAAACTGTGTTGTTAAATGTGAGCGACCAGTAAAATGTATATTTGGGAAAGAACGTGGCTTTAGCGGAAATGTTTACCTCCGAGCAACTGCTGCTCGCTGTGATTTTGAAGCTCTCACAGAACTTGGTGACATGGAGGGTTACGGCCACGCCTACGTTGGACCCTTTAATCCCGCCCTCTGCCACGCCGCCTCTTTATTGGCTCAACACTGGGAGGTGGGGCTGGCATCACCCGGTTGCCTGGATGCCAATTGGCCCAACCTGCCACCCGTTCCTCGCCCCAGCGCGGTCCTGTTTGCCGTGTTCCGGTTCTTTCACTGGGCGCACGTTGGCGTCATCTCAGGTCAGGAATGTGACGAGGTCAAATTTGTCACGAGGGTTGAAAGCTCTCTTGACGACCACCTCCACCCTTTCTCAGCTCCAGTCGACTTTTGGATTAGCACCGGAGAGGAAGTGGCCTCCGCTCTCAGGGCTCTCGGTTTACCGGTCGGGCCTGTTGTTACCATGGAAACGAACATCAAAGACGGTCCTCGGGATGCCCTTCGAGCAATCAGAGATGCGGACAAGGTCAAAGGTAAGCACCGCTTTTGCATCATAATAGGGGCGTGGCCGTGAAAGGCTCGCTTTTGCTTGTTCTCGTGCCACATAAACATCATTTAAAGTTGCCGTGTTTTTTTTTTTTTTTTAAATAGTGGTGATCTTGTGCATGAGTTCTGTCCTTATTGGAGGGGAGGATCAGAGAACGCTCCTACTGGCCGCTCTGGACATGGGCATGGTGTCTGCCGGCTACGTCTTTATTCCATATGACGCTCTGCTGTACGCTCTGCCCTACCAGGTAACCAACCGATCATCACAGGAAACCACTTGGGGATTCTTACGGTACACGTTTTTTCGTGGCCGTTTATTTTGGGGGGTTTTTGTGTGGGGTTGGGGCGGCCCGGGGGACCAGTGGTTAGCACGTCTCACAGGTGCAAGGTTCAATTCCAGCTCTGGCTTTCCGGTGTGGAGTTTTCATGTTCTTCCCGTGCCTCTGTGGGTTTTCTCCGGGTAATCAGGTTTCCTCCCACATTCCAGAAACATGCATGTGGCAGGCTGATTGAACACTCCAAATTCCCTAGGTGTGAGTGTGAGCGTGGATGGTTGTTCGTCTCTGTGTGCCCTGCGAATGTCTGGCAACCCGTTCAGGGTGTCCCCAGCCTACTGCCCAAGACAGCTGGGATAGGCTCCACCACCACCCCCCGTGACCCTTGTGAGCATAAAGCAGATCAGAAAATGGATGGATGGATGTTTAAAAGGGCTCAGTTGTTTTGCTGAAATGTTTTGCTTCCTCCCGTATGTCAGGACACAGTGTTCCCCCAACTGACCAACAGCACCCAACTTCGCCACGCCTACGGCTCTGTTCTGACTGTCACCATGGCGTCGGATCAGAATTTCTACGAAGCTTTTCGTCAGGCCCAAATGAAAAGAGAGATCCGATCAGCCATGGCAGCGACGGAAGTACCAAAATGAACATCACAAACACAGCCAGAGTACTTCTTGACGAATGTTCGCTTTGATGAAGTGTTCTGTTTTTTTTTTTTTTTCCTACTACTCTCCAACAGGTGTCTCCACTCTTTGGGACCATCTTCAACATGGTTTACTTTGTCGCTAAGGCGGTGGAGGAGCGTCGTCAGGTGAGCGGCGGCCGATGGGTGACCGGTGATCAGTTGGTCCAGTCGGACGGAGGCTTTGACTACCAGGGCTTCAACCAGGTTGGTCCGTGTTCCAAAGCCAAGCGGCGCACCGTTCGTAACACGCCGCCGTGGCTGCCGCCAGGTGTTGTACGGCGGCAGAGATGGCCACGGGATGCAGGCTGGCTATGTGGTGCTGGACTGCGACAGCGACAAACTCGTGCCCACGCACACGCTCGCTCCAACGCACACCATCGGGTCGGTTGGAAGTCTGAAGCCGCTGAAGCGCTCCTTCAGCTTCCCGGGAGGGAAACCGCCGAGCGCCAGCTTCTGTTGGTTCAATCCAGATGAGGCTTGCACAGGTGCTGTGTGATCCACTCAGTCCATTTTAAAGTCCAATGTGGCCGTGGTACTTTTGTCGCGAGTGCGGCATCAGTAGTACTATCGCTCTTCTCTTCTTGAAGCGCAAGATCACAACGTCATGCTATTTTATTTTTGCCCTTGTAGATACAGACGGCGTGACGGGGTTCTTATTCTTCATGTTGATTTGTATTCTGCTCGGAGCCATTTTCGTTTGGATCAGGTAAGGAAACGGAATCATAATTAAGGTAATTATTTGTTAGAAAAATATTTCTAGGCCATAATTATAAAACAATAAAATGAAGAAGAACTTTAAGTATGGCACGTGCTGACTGCCTCATTGTTGTGCCAGACGGTGACGTATTCTTACGCAAGCTAGCTGACTGCGGGCCCTTCGTAGCCTTGAAATATCGGGACTGTCGTAAACCGAGGCCCCCCCCAACCACGTGTGTGACATCTTCGGTGCTTTGTTCCCCCAATTTATGATTTGAATCACAACATGTTTGCACAGGAAGCGAAGGGGAGCCGAGAACACCTCGAAACTCATTCTGACGCTCGATGACATTGTTTTCATCGACACTCAAGTCAGCAGAAAGGTTTGAAGTTGAACATACTTTTCCAACATTTTTCACATTTCAGTCTCATTCAGTCGGGGTTTGTATCTGGTCACTTTTCCTTGTTGGGGTTGCAAGATCTAATTCAGTGCTTGCTCGCATTGCGAATGTCTCCAGAAAGTAGTTCGTCTTCCATTTTGCAGAGCATCATTTACAACAGAAGACTGTTGAAAGCATGTTGAAAAGTATTTCCGCGCGACTGACGTCGCCTCTACACCAACGCTTGAAATAAGCGGTTTCACATTGGTGTTTGTGGATCGAAATTAATATTTATCAGATCAAATAGCAAAACTGGCAATCAAACGCCGCGATATCCGGCAAAAGAAAGTATCAGAAGAAAAAGAACCGCCGAGACGCGACCTAGTGCGGGTAGTCAGAAGGTTGAGGAAAGCTGTGTGCTACTTACGCAGCTTCAGCTAGCTAGCAATGGCTTTGGCTGGTTACTAGTGCGCCTAAACATGTTGCAGAGACGCTCCTAAATCAATAATAATAATCTCTGTGGCAGTGAAGAAGCTATACATTCCTGACAAGTGTCATACCCGCAAAGGGATGATGAGAAAAGACGGAGAAACTCTGTTCAATGCTAAGCTAACCTGAAAATGACACAGCTAGCGGGTCACCGCAAATAAGTGCTTGTGTGATCGATTACACAAACTGGAACTGCGTTAAAGCGGTCAACATCCAACTTTGAACAGCCAAATAGAAGGACAATTAATCAATATCTTTGGGAGAGAAAATCATGCATGTTAAATTGAAATTGGAACCGGAAATGAATTAACTTCCTTTACGGTGTACATGACGTCAGCTAGGCATGGACGAATGGCAGCCATCTTACATTGATACTGTTACTGACAACTTCTGTTTGTGTTTTCGCTGACAACACTTATTATTGTGAGTTTTACGCCAATTTTCAGTACATTCATATCGTATAAAGTATTTCTAATTTATCAGCAATGTTATTTCTTTGTATTCACAACAGAGTCCAAAGTTTGTGTAGTAGTTTTGGGAGCATGAGTGCAGACGTACGTATCGGCACAACACTAAGCTGATATCGGTATCATAAGTACTGTGTTGTGATCGGACTCTCTAGAAGCTGAACGACGAATCGATCATGAGGAGTCTTCTGGAAATCAAAACGCCACTCCGCTCAATTGCTAGAAGCTACATACTAACCACGCCCGAGAGCTCCAATATCGGAATACTGGAGGTACGCATGGTCTTTTGATTGGAAGCGTCGGCTCCCTTTTACTTTGTAGTTTTGCCCTTTTATCAGGGTGACTGGGTTTGGCTCAAGAAGTTCCCAATGACGGGCACCACGACGGCAGTCAATCAACGTACACAGAAGCTTTTCAGCCAGGTATGAAAGAGATGACGCAGGACTCTGTTTGGTCTAAGAAAAATAATTTTTAAATCCTTTCCAGTTAAGGGACATGCGACACGAAAACCTGAACCTCTATTTGGGAATCTTTGTGGACTCGGGAATCTTTGCCATGGTGGTGGAGCACTGCCCTCGCGGCAGCCTGGCGGACCTGTTGGCCAACAGCGACATGAGATTGGATTGGATGTTCAAATCGTCTCTCCTGATGGACCTCATCAAGGTGACCACATGACCCCAACAGTTCAAGTCCAACAGGAATCGCAGCTGACCAGAAGCGACGGGTGTGTTTCAGGGAATGAAGCATCTCCATCTGCGGGGTTTAAGTCACGGCCGTCTCAAGTCCACCAATTGCCTCGTTGACGGGCGCTTTGTGTTGAAGATCACAGATTACGGAATCCCCATGATTATTCACTCAGAGGGCCTCAGCGTTTCTGAGGACCCGCAAGGTGAGGACGACGAGTGTCCGTCCGTCTGCCGCTTCCCAGTTTGAACGCAAACAAACGCTTTGGCGAGATTTCCCAGATGCACTCTACTTTGCGCGTGTTGCACCAGAACTGCTGTGGACCGCACCCGAGCTCCTGAGGCATCCCGTCAGAGGAGGCACCATGGCCGGGGACGTGTTCAGCTTCTCCATCATCATACAAGAAGTCATATCGCGAACTCCCCCCTACGCCATGATGGACATGCCCGCCCTCGGTGAGGAGGATGTCCTCTAATGCGTGCGCGTGTGTCTCAACGTCGATTCCCGACCGCTCGTCCTTGTCCGCCAGAGATCGTGGAGCGGTTGAAGCAGCCGCCCCCTCTCTGCCGGCCCCTGGTTTCCGTGGACGAAGCGCCGGCCGAATGTCTCGCGCTGATGAACGAATGTTGGAACGAAGACCCCGCCAAGAGGCCAAACTTCGATGAGATCTTCAAGCAGGTGAAGCCATCCCAGGAGACTCTACCGTCGGAGCGGCCCATCTGAGTTCCTTGTTTTCCTGTCCCCGCAGTTTCGGGGCCTCAACCGTGGGAAGAAAGCGAACATCATTGACTCTATGCTGCGGATGTTGGAGCAGTACAGTTCTAACCTGGAAGATCTCATCCGAGAAAGGACGGATGAACTCGAGGTGGAGCGAAACAAGACGGACAAGCTGGTGGGACAACTGCTGCCCAAGTGAGGCACATTTGAATTGTTGACCTCTGCGCGTTGAAATTGCTTCTCGCGACGACTAAAAATATCCAGCCGCATGTTCGCGTGTGACGCTCGGGTTGTCTTCTGAGTAACGTCGCAGTTTTTAATTCCTAATCACCGAAAACGGTTTCAGGTCGGTGGCTCAGGCTCTGAAGAAAGGGAAGCCGGTTCGACCGGAACATTACACGGACTGCACTCTCTACTTCAGCGACATCGTCGGATTCACGACCATCTCGGCTCTCAGCGAGCCCATCGAGGTACGAGCCGCTCAAGTCCCGCAGCTGTGCAATGTTTAATATACATCATGCTGTTTTTTTTTTTGTTGTTTTTTTTTTTAAACCAAGCTATTCATAATAATTCATATTTATTATTTTCGTCCATATGTCATTTAATATACATCATGCACATTTTTTGAGACGTATAAAAGAAGTCTACTACATGATCATGTTAAAAAATCCTCTCTACAAATCATTAAAAAAAATTACCATCCTGTAGATGAGTTAAAAAAAAATGACGATTCATTGAATTGATTTTCTTTTTCAAAAGACCTTACTATACATCATGCCTTTTTTTTTTCATTTAACTAGTCATGTTTTTGGGAATGACCTTATGATGCATGTCCTTAAAAAAAAGTCTTACCTGGCGTCTATATATTTATTTTGTGTTCTACATTTTTCTTTTTTTTTTTCAAACCTCACTGTATCATGTCAGGGCGGCACAGTAGCTGACTGGTTAGCATGTCTGCCTCACAGTATAGAGGTCCTTGGTTCGAATTTAGGCTCCTCTTGTGTGGAGTTTGTACGTTCTCCCCATGCCTGTGTGGGTTTTCTCCGGGTACTCCGGTTTCCTCCCACATTCCAAAAACATGCATGACAGGCTGATTGAACACTGCAAATTGTCCCTAGGTGTGGTTGTGAGCGCGAATGGTTGTTCGTCTGTGTGTGCCCTGCGATTGGCTGCCGACTGGTTCAGGGTGTCCCCCGCCTACTGTCCGAAGACAGCTGGGACAGGCTCCAGCACCCCCCGCGACCCTCGTGAGGATAAAGCGGTTCGGAAAATGGATGGATGGAATGTATCAAGTCAGATAAAAAAATTGTCTTCCAATACACGGTGTCGTTTCAAAACGCTTGTCGTATAAAATGACCCCTTTCTATACATAACCTGTTTTTTTTTTTCCCCCCTAGGTGGTGGACCTGCTCAATGACCTCTATACCATGTTTGATGCCATCATTGCATCTCATGATGTCTACAAGGTCAGTCAACTCCAGGGAGAGATTTAAAACTACCAAAAGTGTTCCCGTTTTTTTGTCCAGCTGATTGTTTTTTTTTTTTTTTTTTTTGTGCGTGTGTATTCAGGTGGAAACAATTGGCGACGCCTACATGGTGGCGTCCGGCGTTCCCAACCGGAACGGCCATCGACACGCGGCCGAGGTGTCCAACATGTCGCTAGATATCCTGCACTCCATCGGAGCGTTTAAGATCAAGCACATGCCTGAAATTAAAGTCAAGATAAGGATTGGCCTCCACTCTGGTAAAAACACGGTTGTTCCCCCCCCACCCCAAAAAATGCCTTACTATAAATGTCAATCAAAATAAGCTTCACAATACATCATATCGTTATTGTTTTGTACCTATACATTGTGTAATTTTTTTTTTTGTCTGACTTTTGATGTGTTTTATCAGTCTGAGACTGGACATCATTCCATTAAAAAAAAAAAAAAAACCAGCTCATGCTACATACAGTATGTTATTTTTGGTAATTTTTCATTACAAATAATGAAAAAGAATATGTGTGAATGTATGTCCAGGTCCAGTTGTGGCAGGTGTGGTGGGTCTCACAATGCCCAGGTATTGTCTCTTCGGCGATACTGTGACCACCGCTTCACTCATGGAATCTTCCGGACTTCGTATGTACTGCAAATATCCAAGTGTTTGTGAATGTTGGATCATGTACAAACAAACAAAACAAAAAAAAAAAGCACATTGTCTTTTTTTAAAATTATTATTATTTATGATGTTTGTTGTGCAGCGTACAGAATCCACATCAGTTTGAGCACAGTGAAGGTCCTGTCGAGTCTCAAACTGGGTTACCTTATGGAGACCAGAAAAGCTCAGGTACAGTGCGTCCCAATTTTCGGGCGCAACACCTCGTGTCTGTTTTGTTCGTGCGGCTTCGGACGGCATTCCAAGCATATGCTTTACTATACATGACTCTTTAGATAACACTAATAAATAATCGGCGGCACGGTGGCCAATGACAATGATTCAGGTTCTGAAAAACACGCATTATATCAGGTTGATTAAAAAAAAAACTTTTTACACAAGTCATTGGATTTTTTTTAAATGTCTTATCATTTATCGGTTATAAAAAAATGCCAAATCCTGTAAAAAAAAAAATAAAAAAAAATTACTATACACATTCCCATGGTCTAAAAATGCCTTTCATTACATCCATGTCATTTAAAAAGTAAGTAAATAAATACGCCTTACACGTGCAAAAGCATGCCTCACATCATGGCGTTAAAAACAATAAGACCATTATATACATCATTATGCTCTTTTGGAGGCTTTGACATATTTAATAAAATGACTACGGATCCACTTCTAATACTTTGCCCCCATCGACAGTCTGATTGTACAGATTAGTCACTGTGTGTTTTTAGGTGAAAGGTGCAGAGGACACCTTTTGGCTGATGGGCCGAGACGGCTTCAATAAACCTCTGCCTGTTCCTCCGGACCTCAAGGGAGGGTAAGAATCGACGTTCACGCCTAACAGCTGACACGCTTCAACATTTGTTGATGGTGTTTTGGTCGGGGGGGCATGTCACTGAAGTAAAGTGTCTGCGTGTCCCAGGGCCAGTCACCACGGAATCAGTCTTGATGAAATCCCGGTCGAGAGAAGACAGAAGTTCCTGGACCGACAGAAGAAAATGAAGAAATAGACATTGCCAATGGATGCATACACATACGCACACACGCACACAGACACAGACACACACTACCTCTAAGTCTGCACTTGAACAATTTAGTGTAAATAAAACAAAATCTGTTTTTTTAAGGAGAAAAAAAGAAAATGCGTGGTTATTGCGCTGTCTTCAGTATGTCAAAGGTGCCCTGCAAAAAATGTTGAGCAAACCACAAAAAAATCAAATAAATTTAAAAAAACCTTGCATGAATTTTTGTCCAAGCAAATGATGTACTAGTAGGCAGTTTATGGACCATAAATGTAATGGAGTTAAAACCTCAACACCAACTCCAGTCAGCCTGTCTTTAAACCCTAATTTGAAACGATAATCCTAGTTTACAACCCTAATTAATCGTAAAGCTGTTATAGAAACCCTAATTTCAAATCTGGCCCCTGAAGCCCTAATCTCAGTTAAAAACCCAAATTTGAAACCCTGTGTGGGTGTGGCTAATGGGACTTTTCCCCAATTGATGCCCCTCCTTTCTTTCCGCAAGGCTGTATACGTTAGCGGAAGCCCGGGGGACAGAACATTACAAACCGTCTTTATTTGCTTCTACAATTGTACAATAGTCAACATTTCTCATGAACATACAAAATGTTGTCATCTATACATAAACTAGCATACGCGTGTACATAAACTGAGATGCTTACGGTCGCCTAGCGCTGCCTAAATGTCATCTTTGATTGGTTAGCACAGAAAATGCCTGACAATCAAATGCAAATGAGCTCAATCGATAAAAAGGATGACTTCCACTTCTTAAAAAGTAGCTGACGTTGCAGTCTTTGCTCCCGTTCTTCAAACCGTTCCACATTCATCCTTGACAAACCCGTTTAAAAGTTGCCAATGGCCTTCTGGAGCTCCTCCCTGATGCTGTTCAGCTCCACCACTCCGTCATTGAGCACATTGGCCGCCTCTTTGATCCGAGCCACCACTTGCTTCTTGAAGGCTCTCTTCAGGTTCCGGGAGTCCTTGAAGTACTTTTCCATGCCGCCGTTAAGTCCTTGGACCAGCTGCAAGATGGCGTCCGTCACCTCCATGGCTCGCATGACGGGCGAGTCCACCAGGCTGATCATCTGCACCGCCTTGCGCACCTCCCAGTCCTCAGAATAGTGCTGCGTGCCCGACCGGAGGAAAGGATGCCCGCGCAGTTTGTACAGGCCGTGATTGACGAAGTGAAGGATCTCGGCCAAGCCCCGAAAGTCAAACTCGTACTCTTGCAGCACCGCCTCCACCTACAAACCGGCGCACGTGCCATGACGTCAGATGAGAAGTGCCCACATACCTCATAGACGTCACGGAATGCGGAAGAAAAGCTCTTCTTTGCGTGGCATTTACCTTCTTGCGCTCCTGCATGATGTTGACGTTATCCGAGATGCTGGCGGAGGCCGAAGTGATCCCTCCGGCGGTGGCCACGCCCACCCCGACCGCCGTGACGATGAGCGAGGCGCCAAAGGTGAACGGCGCCAAGGCCAAGCCGGCGATGGCCGTGACGCCGCCGACGGCCGCCGTGGTGCTGCCCGTGATGCCGGCCGCTTTGGCTTTCTGGTGGAAGGTGCTGAGGTGGTCCGCCAGGGCGTGGAGCTTCACCACGTGCTGCCAGAAGACCTCGGCGCGCTCCATGAAAACTTTGTTGAACACCTGCAGGCCTCGGTTCACCTTGTCGGCCAAAACGGTGAAGGACCTGGCGGTGGGGGAAATGGTTTGTCAGCCGCCAAGTTGCGGAAAAATGGAGGCCGGAATGCTCGGAAGCACCTACTCGGAATCGTCGCGCTGTTTGGTCTCTTCGTCCGATGGCACCTCGTCCCACTCTGGAAAACAACCCGGGGACAGACCAGAGATCAACATCTGACAATCGCCACTCAATGGACAAACGTGTTCTGATGTTGGGGAAAAAATGCGGAGGGCTCTTGTGGGGTTGGGACAACCATGCGGTCCCTTCTTTTGGACGGATGAGTCGGCGAAAAGATGCACACTAGCACCAGCGGACACTCCAAGAGCTTCTTTCCCCTTGCTAATCAACATCAACAAACACACATCGGTCCGTGTTCTGTACTGCTTATCTCACGCGGGTCGCCAATTCCACCTAACTTGGTTTTCAGGGGGAGTGGAGACGTTCAAAATCGACATGACTTGATGGATTTGCGTTTCGGTACTCAATGTATACTCGTGCTCTTTGAAATTACTCAGCATTTGGCAGAGACAAATTGTATGTTTGGACATACAGTCAAACCTCGGTTTTCGAACGTCTTTGTTCTCGACCAAATTGATTTTCGACCAAATATTTTGAGTATTTTATGCCTCGGAGTACGACGGAAAATCGGTTCTCGACCAAACTGAGCGCACTTGAATGCGCCACTTGACTCCTCTCGCCTTCCTTACACAAGGAAGTGACGCTTTCTCGTGTCGTGTTCCATTGTCAGCAGACGTGTTCAATAAAGATTTTTTATTTTTTTTTAAAAGAGCGTGGTTTCGGTTTTCGAACAAATCGGTTTTCGAACAGCCTTCTGGAACGGATTATGCTCGAAAACCGAGGTATGACTGTACCTGGCCAATTAACGTCTCTCCATACGAAACTTTCAAGTTACGAAACATGGAACGGATTATGCTCGAAAACCGAGGTATGACTGCACCTGGCCAATTAACGTCTCTTCATATGAAACTTTCAAGTTACGAAACGCCTCAACGGAAAAATATTGCCTCTTTTTAACGAAAGAAATTTCAACATACGAAAGGTAAAAATACAGTGTGGCATGCTTGTCGCAGCTCCGAGTTTCCTGAACACAACATACTTAGAGCTGCTCTGCCATTGGCTACTACCGATCATCATCCTGGCATCCCATTGGCTAAGAGGAACCTCTACCATATGTGTCTATGTGTTGATGCAGCGTCCTTGTCATTCGCCCCTCGGGCCATGAGTTGGTGTGATAGTTTGACGTAAATGCGAATCACCCAGAAAAAGTTTTCACCAGTCGGGCGATCGCTCACTATGCTGATGTTTGCCTTGGACATTTTCGAAGGATTGTTAAAAGCCGACAAGAGCAAACGTCCTTGGATCACTACTTTACAAAACGCCAGGCAAAGACCACTTCTGAGGGAGAAAAATATAAAAGCATTTTTTCAGTGTAGGCTGTGCCTGTGTTTTCATCTTTCTCCCTTGCAACCTTTTGATTGATTTTTTTTATTTTTTCTATTAATACCGTGACTCACTTTCTTTTTCGAAGGATTGTTAAAAGCCGACAAGAGCAAACATCCTTGGATCACTACTTTACAAAACGCCAGGCAAAAACCACTTCTGAGGGAGAAAAACGTAAAAGCATTTTTTCAGAGTAGACTGTGCCTGTGTTTTCATCTTTTGGCCTTGCAACCTTTTGATTGATTTTTTTTATTTTTTATATTAATACCGTGACTCACTTTCGACTGTGTACCACCACTCCATCAAGCTGTCCGTGTCCTGCGACAAAAGAAAGACAATGAGACGACAACAACAACAACATGCTCGAGCCGCGAGTCACATCGTCAACGCACTGACCCCGTCACCGTCTCCCTCGCCGTATTCCAGACCCGCCACCACGCGCTCGTCCCTCTGTGCCGCTAGCCACTCGGCCTGGAATAAAAAGGGAACGGACCCGGCGTGAAAATGTAGTGTCACTTTAACATGCACGAATGTATTCCAGACCCGCCACCACGCGCTCGTCCCTCTGCGCCGCTAGCCACTCGGCCTGGAATAAAAAGGGAATGGACCCGGCGTGAGAATTTATTATCACTTAACATGCACGAATGCAGAGCAACGAAATTCAATTAAAACTCATTCACTCCCAAAGACGTTTTTAAACGTCTTTTCAGACGTGGTCTAGAATTGGCTGGTACTGAATGAGGTAACAGTGCAACCTGTCCAGAAGACGTTTTAAAAAAATGACCAACAGAGGGAGACAGAACAAAGAAATCTAACAAGTCGAGCAGGGGAAAAAAAAACGTCCACCCGTCGAGAGCCGAGAAGACAAGACGCTCCGTGACAGACGATGAGCGCTAATGCCACCGTGCCAGCTGACAGAGACGGAAAAAACACAAACTTCTTGTGTTTACATTCCACACGCTTAACGATCTTTTCTCTCTCGAAATGTCAAAATCAGGTGAGCGGAACGACTGACCTGCGCCGCCTCTGACAGGTGGTTGATTGGCACTTCCTCCACGGCGCCTTCCCACACTTTGTTCTGCCAAGAGACGCAATTAGAAAGACGCGCGATTCAAAAGTGATGCTCATGCCGCTCGCGATTGATTTGTGCTTTCGGAACGGCTTGCGCTTCAACTTTTTCTGCCAGGGAAGAGTAAGAGTGTGGTGAGTGCGATGCCACCCCCAAAAAAGTGATCCTGTCCATCCGCATTACCGGTTTCTGAAGGACCAGCTCGTCCTGTTTGTAGTAGTAGTCCACTACGGGATCTCCATGTTGTCTTTCGCTCAAAGCATCGTCGTCCTCATCTGACCAGTTGTCCGCCTGCTGAGAGTTCAATCAATCAATCAACCAACCAACCAATCATTGGAATTGAAGCCGAAGCTCCCGCGGCTCATTCGACAAACACCAAATCGAAAAGATACGTACACCGGACGTGGGTGCAAAAGTAGCGTCGCCAAATATCAGCGCCTCCACCGGTGCAGGTGAACCGAGGCTTGGCTTTGGTTTGCGGGGCAAAGGCACCGGGGCCTTGAACTTGTTCTTTTTCTAAAAAGCAGGGGGCAGGAGGGGGGGAATCTTAAGATGGAATATTTTCCTCAACAGAAACCAAGATGGAGGACGACGTTGTGACATTGCGTGCATGTCATTTACTCGAACGTCTGATCAAGAATGACTGAAATAAACAAAGAAAAGGTCAATGGGGATTTCGAACAAGCAAACAAACCGCTGCGTAGGCATCTGCTGCATTGGGCGCTTCATAATCGAGCTGCTCTGCCGGGAAGCTGTTTTGTTGGGGATGAAAGAAAGGCACGTCCTCCTTTTTCCACAAAAAAAAAAAAAAAGTTGCACTTTCTTTTAGTCATAAGCCATCACATACTTAATTGTCTTCAGATATTGAAAAAAAAAAGAAAAAAGATCTACCTGGCTGCTGGAGTGAAGCCCCTTGAGCTCATCCACATTCTCCAGGCCGTGCTCCTGGTGGGGGGTGGGGGGGAACAACATTCACCTCAGTCAAAAAGTAAGAGCGCATGCGAGTGCGTGACCGTACCTGCCACATGTCGGCACCAGCGAAAAACTGCTCTTCTCTGTCCTGGGGGGGGAAATCAAAACACGCAACACCGTCCATCACCTTCTTACATCATCGCACACACTCCATTTCCGACGGGAACCTTTGAGTCCTTGCGAGGTGTGTATCCATGCGCCCCCTGCGGCTGCTCTTCCTGAGAATTTGTCAATCCTTTGAGATGCGCAAACTTCTTTTTCATTTTCTTTTTGCCTTTCTGGAGGACGGTGTGAGGGGGGGGAGGGGCACATTAGCAATGGCTAAACACGCCGACTTCTAGAAGAGGGTCTCAGGTTAAAAAAAGAAAAAAAAAGGGACTTACGCCGGCGAAGGCGTCGGCCTCGTCCAGCTGCGCTCGCGCCGCCTCTTCTTCCTCGCCTTTGCTGGAATCAAACATGGCCTCCTGCGGAGGAGAGCGCCGTGAGAGCGACGTATGGGATGCCAATCATGAAACGTCGATACCTGGGAGTGCCATCTGAGAGCAGATTCCTTCATGTTCATCCGTTTCTGAAGGAAGTCGTCGTCCTGTCGGATGACGGGAGAAGCAAAGCGGGTGAGCGCGGCCGGCCGGCCGACGCGGCCACGTGCTTTCCCGTCTCCGCCTTTACCTTGCTCGCCGGAGCCGGTTGTCGCTGGACGAGGCTGGTGGATGCGCGCCTCAGCAGCTGGTTGACTTTGTTCTTCAGGGGCTTTTTCTTTGGAACAAAAAGAGATGACGGGAGTGGAAAGAAAAAAAAAAAAAGAGGATCGAAGGGTACAAGAAAAATCTTACTTTGCCGTCAGACCAACTTTGCTCTCCGTCTTCCCTCTTCCCTGTCGGGTAGTTCATGTCGTAGAAATTTTCCTGAGCGGGGTAAAAGCAAGAACGAAGATGTGTGAAGGATGCTCCTTCTTCTCATCTCACTTGGACTGATTGCCGCCGCTTACCTTTGAGGATTTCCCTTGAGAAGGTAAAGTCCAGCTGCGGCCATCTTTCATGTCATCAGACAGTTTGTCCTAGTGAGCAACGTCTTTGTAAGCGCAAATACAGTGCTGACATTCTCACCTTTAGCCGTTTTTTTTTTTGTACCTTTGAGGCTCCTCGGGACAACAACAAAAACTTCCGGTCCTTCTTCTGTGGAAGATGTTCACACAATGAGCGCGAAATTCACGTTCAAGTGTTGGCATCGGAAAGCAAGCAAGACAGAGAATCCGTTTGCGTCTTTTTTTTTTTTTTAACTGCTCCAACACAACACTGTAGAATTTTCACTATCCATTGGAAAAGTTTCCGGAAACGGGATCTGTTCTTGACAAACCACACAGCGGAAGGCTGATGAAAACACCAACCCTGTAAATCGCAAAAACAAGGGAAAGTCTCTCTGTGGAGAACCGCGCTGAACCTCAGCATGCACGAAATTTGGATTCAGCAGATGCTTCCGAGCGATGAAGCTTTTCCTGTACTGATTTCAGGGTGTTGAGCCTCATGATCTCTTGCCCGAAGACTTTGAAAAACCCGAAGACCGTAAAGCTCCAACGAGTTTTTCGGATGCCGAGTTCCAGGGCGGCCAGTGTCAGACTTCCCCTGGCTTTGCGCAAACGCAAATAACCGACCTGACTGTAAAACTGAATTGCTCTTCAGGGACCGCGAAAAAAATTCTCAATCGGAATCTGAAAGCGCACAAATGGCAATGGGATGACCTTGGCGTGTACTCCGAAATCATCCCGATTCTCTCCTGTCGCTCCTTCCTCAGAGATCTGCGTGACCTGAAAGGAGAAGCGCCGCTTGGTTGCCTTCCTTTTGATCTCCACTAATGCCCCCACCCCACCAAAAAAAAGGACAAAATCGTCACTCACCGTCAGGGATTCGCGGCGCAGTCGAAATTTTCCAGACTGGGAAGACAAAACACAAACATTGGGAGAGACGTGCAAAGCGGTGAAAAGGTGGCAGTCGTTTGTTGGCTTACTGGTTTGAAGTCGGGGTGGAACTGAGGACTGTCTTCCGGCCAGTCTTCCACACACTTTTCCTGTCGAGACATACTCCACTTGTTGGGTCGAGAAAACAACTCGGGGGGGAAAGGCTGCGATCAAGATTCGGAGCCCCACCTGTCCAATCAGCAGGATGTCCTCAAAGATGTCGCAATGCTCCTTATCGAGCGCTTTCCCGTCCTAAAAGACACACAAAGATAATCAGCCGGGATCGAAATATCGACTCCCAAGCTTACGTGGCACACCTGCGGCTTGGCGGCGGCGCCGGCGAATGAAACGGGGCGCGTTTTGACGGGTTTTGGAGGAGGTTTCGGCGGCCCGCTTGTCTCCGGCTCGACCTGGACGAGTGGAAGACGATGACTCGCGGTTTAGCGAATCACAGCCGGCTTGTTACGCTGACGGAGGCGAAGGCGGTTTTTTACGATATAGGCTGGCTTGCGGGACTTATCCGGCACGGGGGGCTTCTCCAACCTGGGAGGTCTGGAACGAGGAAGCGGCTTCGGCGGGCGCCTGGTGAGCGTCACCTGGTGCGGCGTGATGCCCAAGGAGACATTTAGAACGAAGCCACCCAACTTCGAATTGCAAAACGGCAGACGCTACACACATGATTCGACTCGGTGGGGGAAGAGTCTGACGACGCGCTCAGTTTCTGGGCCTGACTGAAGGGCGTTGGCTGGAGGATGCCGTGTTTGCTTCCTTGCGGAGTGGTGAGCACGACGTCGCGTGGGGCGTCGGAATACGTCGATCGGACGGTCTGTTCCGAGAGGTCCGACGTCGATTTGGTGAACCCGCTCCTGGGAAGGCTTCCGAAAACGTCCCCGCTGTTGGGCGCCTCCGGATTAAACAGATCGCTTGCGCTGCCGCCGTCTCCGAAGAGTTCCTTTACGATGGAGCTCGAGAAATTCGAAGAAGGGGAGAATACATCCAAATCAGATCCGGATAATCCTGAATAAGCGAGTTTGTCATCGTGCGAGAATTTTCCTCCGTTCGCCTGAAACGAATGCGACGCAGTGCTTGAGGAAGAGTAAAACGGATTCCCCGCTGGATCCCCCGGCGAGCCGAACAGATCCTCCGCCGTGTTGGAAGAAGGCCGAAACGGATCCGCAAAAAGGCCGTCAGACTTCTCCGAGACTTTCCCTGAAGGCGCCTTGAGGCTAAAATCCTCGGGTGAATCTTGTAAAAGGTCCCGCTGGCTGGAGCTCTTTGACAGCAGGTTCTTGAACAAGTTCTCGGGATGGCTTTCTGCCGAGCTCCGACTCGTGTTCTGATACTGCCCGATTTGGGATGTGAAAATGTCATCCGGCAGGTGGTTTGAGCTCAAGCTGTGGCCCGAGTCCTTGTGGCCTTCAGACCCCGAGGCTCCATTTTCCTGCCAATCCAACGGAGAACGATGGAATTCAGGCAGAGGAACGAAGTCGCTCGCCGCCCGCGCTTCCTGCCACGGTTTTCGTCCGACATCCTCGCTGGTGTCGTACTTGTGCCTGGACTCCTAATGTGACAAGTGCAAAAAAAAAAAAAAGATATGACGTGAGCCAACTGTCGAGAAACTGATAAAAAAGGAATGCTGCCGGTCCATACCAATTGATAGGAATAAAATGGGTTCGTGCTTGCCACAGGCTGCAGAGAATAAAATAAGAAAGCATTTTGAATAGGATGTGGTTCATTTCAAACGTTATGACTTGTGGGACGGGGGGGGGTGTCCATCACCTGAGGGTTCGGCCGCTGTGCTGCATCCTGTAACACGAAAGCCGCACGTTAACAAGAGGCGACGCGCAAACTGGTTGTGCACGTCAGAAATTGTGAGTAAAGGTGAGACCCAGAAAAAAAAAAGGGCGTGGATGCGATCGGGCGGAGGCGGCGAGCGGCGAACAAACAATTTGGACCTCACCTGTGACAGCTGACTGTCAGTGGTCACATTCAGAAAGACGTCCTATAAAAATAAAGAAATAAACAAATAAAAATTGTCCACCCCCGCTCCCAATTCCCAGTGTGCATACGCTATCATTTTAAAAGCTTCTCTCACTCGGTTGCTTCTCGAAGCGCTCGCAGGCGACCCGCTGGAGGGCGACGGAATGACGCTCTGAGGAGGACGGACGTACGGGATGATTGAAGTCCCGTTGTCACGGCAAACGGGACGGCGCCAAAGTGATAAATACCTGCTGCGTATTGACGAACGGGCTTTGAGGGATTTTCTTGAGCATGTTTTGCAGCACCACAATACTCTGCAAAAGGCAAACAATCACTTGACAAGCCAAGCAACAGGAGACAAGAAGTGCCGTGCCAAGCAAATCGGGTCTCTTTCAAACATTTAGGTTAAAAGGTGAAATTATGTAAAATATGTTTTAATTGAATTAATAAGCACAACATTTGTATTTTAGTTTCATTTTTTTAACCCTGGGGAACCCACGGGGTCAAATTTGGCCCCCTATAAATTCTGCTACTCAAATGCTCCCCTTAAATCCCAAAGAGTCAAATTTGGCCTGAATCCTAAATTAGGATTAAAGCATGAAATATTTAGAAAAACATATATTTTGGTGTTCAGTGAACATGTAGCAGTCATTTAATGTATAATTCATCATTTTCCAAAGAAGAAAAAGGTGGTTGGGTTCTCCAGGGTTAAATTTGTTTTTGTTTTAAAAATGTTCATCAGCGGCGCTGCAGGAAATGATCTAAATTCACTTGGCCAGATTTTTTTGTTATTCATCTTGCTCATCTATTGCCATCAATTTATCACATAAGGTCCAGTTAACCTTCGTGTCAACTAACTCATTCATTCAACACAATAAGTCAAAGCGAAACAAAATTATCATCACTTCATTTGACATACTTCCTCTTTGTAATGTAAAATGAATGCCTTGCCTCAATAATTGTTCGAAATTTCCCAGGCGACTAGTTCTACTTCAATATATAACAATAATGATGTTAAATACAGCATGTGTGCCAGATTAATTTTTATCTCTGCTCAGTGATGTAAAAGTAGCCGACCCATGATAGCATATAAAAGTTAGTTTAGAAAGGAGAAGATATAACAAAGGTGAGTTTAAGGTTTTAGGAAACAGCGCGTTGAAAGGATGGTGTCACGTGATCAGGAATGACAATGCAAAACATACGCTTTCCGTGACATGTTTTTTGTTGGATGACAACAATCCTAAAAAATGAAAAATAAAAAGATTTACGGGTCGCCTTTGGATGGTGTCGCTCTCCCCTTGCTCGTCCTTCGCCCCCTCCTGGCCCTCCTAATTTGGACATTGAAACCAGACCAAACTCTTAACAAGAATAAAAGTCAGCATGAGAATTTGTGTCAGGTTGTGCGCCACTTACCGTGCTCACAACGGCTCTCATGTTGCCCTTTTGCTCGCTTTCTGCTAGTTTCTTCGACTGTTTTTGCTTATCATCATCATCCAGCTGTTGAACGCACCTGTGTCAAGTCTCCATGTTGAGAACGCCACATCCGCTATGTGACTTTCAGAGTAACAGTCTGATCCAGGGGCGCGGACAAAAAGGATTCATAACAGGTGCTAAAGTGCTGCTTTCACTCAAATTTAGAAAGTGACAACATAAAGATTAGAAACTTCTTTTTTTTGCCCGGTTTGCAGCTCCCGAGATTTTCTATTCTTGTGTTGTCCATGCTGCAAATTAAAGTTTAGTGACATTTTCCGGTTTGTATCTGACTAAATTTACTTGACACAGGTGTCTGCATCGTCTTCGTCACCAAGCCAGTCTGGAAGATCACAATGCGAACCGACCGGTTGTCCTCGCCCTGCTGCTCTTTCGCAATGACCCACCTCCACCCCATTTTAAAATTCAATTCAATTTAAGATAAACACAAACTTTATAGTCAAATGGTCAAATCAGTGCGAATGCTGCTTTCAGGCACGTGCATGGATTGACAATTGAATTTGAATGATTCATGAATGATTCAAAAAGTATGTTGACACTTTCAAAGACGCAAGAAGCTCTTTGTAAGGTTTTATTCATGTCTCATTATGTTACACAAACATTTTTGTCACACAATTAAATGGGATTGCATTTTCTTTTCAAAGTTTATTACATGACTTTGCCTAAAGCAAAAACAATAATGAGTAAAATAACACTCGGTTGACTAAGTGAGCATTTGGGGAAAGATTCACACAAAAGATGAGACACGCAATTAGGAAAGAAAATGGACAAAACGTCACACCTCCATTTTATTTTTAAATCCTCACGTGAGAGCTGCTCAGTTTCCCTTTTACGCTTCACTTTCTTTGCCTTCACTTTGGCTGGCACGTTCAACATTGTAATTCTTCTTCATACTTTTTTTTTTTTTTTTAAATCAATTACGTGTCCGGTTCAGTCCACCTACGTTTGTCGAACACATCCCTTACGGTCCTCCTGGCAGTGCTTTAGCTTTCATTTCCTCCTGTGACGTTCTTCTCCGCTAGATTTTTTTAAGAAAGCTCACGACACTATAGATATTTTAACTCCAGTTGCCTGTGAGAAAGGATTGAAATGTATAACCAATTAAAGAATACGAACTGGTTGTCGTTCACTTTTTTTTCTTTTAAGTGTCTTATCTTATTGCTGGCAGTGACATTTTAGCGGTACAGCACTTTCTTAACAACATGGAGGCTGTGTGGAGTCTCTTTGAACGCATATAAACTCAAGTATGGCGGCTGGGTTTAGTTAAGAGGGATCTGAGGGTTCGAGAGAGTTTAAAAACCAAGATTAACACAGTGATCCCTTCTGAACGCTCTGCCTGGTGCTACGTAGCGACGTCACCGTGCATCCTGGACACAGCGCTGAGGAAACCGGAAGCACTCTTCGAGCGACTGGCGTCTTCAACGTTTGCAGTCTGACGCCACGTGCACTCGCATGTTACAAGTAGTCATTGGACGAACGAGCGGCATTAAAAAGCCAAAACAATTACCCCCCCACCACCAAAAAAAAAAAAAAACTCCCTGTCCATCTCCTCAGATGCTAACAAAAAACGGCAAACGGAGGCTGGAAGACATAACAACCTGACAACACAATTATGCTAACATAAAATGGGCGCGGGAGTCGAAAAGAACAAGTAGTTCGGAAGGTTGTCCAGACACATAATCTCTGCTATAGGCTACCTTTTGTGTACAACACATCAGTTGTCAGCTTCTTTTTAGGACTATTACTATGAGTTAGGGCCTCTAGCGACCACATACTTGTGCTAAATTAAAGGGCTAACAACAGAGCTGGAGGGGCGCCGCGTTGTGCCCACCTCCCTCTCTTCACAAAGAATCTTTTCTTTCCTTTTGAACAACGGGGATGCGAGGATATGGACGACAGATGTTTGCCCCTTTTCCCTTTACACTTTTTTTTTCCTGCTTAGCTGGGGAATGACGGGAATTGTGGTGACAATAATGGGAACACATCAGTCTCGACTTTTTTCCGTCTCTCTTGGCTTTCTTCCCCCGTCCGCCCCCACCTTCTCTTCAGCAGGACACCTCCATGGTCTGTGAGGGGCTGGGCGGCATCTGCCCCCCCTGCGAGCCCTGGGACAGCGTGCGCGAGCGCGAGCCTTCCATGGAGTACGAGGACGACAGCGAGGTGGTGCGTGAACGGGACAGGCGGGTCATGCAAGATGAAGCCACTGTGGGCGCAGAGGCCAGGCGGGCAGGTTAGAGCGCGCACGTGGCACACGCGGTCAGAAAGAAAGTGCCCGGCGCTCACTTACTGTAGCCCATTCCCTGGATGAAGTACTTGAAAGCCTCGGTCAATTTTGCAGGCTGCAGAGGTAAAGATTCTCCCATCAAATGGGCGTTTTTCACCCATCGTCGGAACAGGAAGTACAGAGGTGCCGTGAGATGCAAGCAACGCAAGTATTTACGGATACAAGTCGTAATTTGGATGATTGCGAACACCATGTGCTGTCCGGGAACTCAATGCAGTTTGGCAAACAGCCAACAGTTCACAAATAAAAAAAGAAGCTTCAAGCTCTCGAATGCCACTCCCAGCTGACATGTACTCCCAAACAAAACAGAAACCACATAATTACGCGTGTTTGGAAACAACCACAGTTTTTCTTTGTGGGAAAGTCCGCTTAGCGCAGTGCTTCTCAATTATTTTCTGTCATTCCCCCCGCTAGGAAGAAGGAAACATCTCACAAAACAAAAACAAAAAAACAAAAATGTATGGGTTTTTTTTGGGGGGGGCGGAGCTGGAATGGAATGGCCTTTTAATTCATTTCAATAGGGAAAGATGATTTGAGATACAAACGTTTTGAGTTAGGAGCGTGGAAAGTCTCATCTCAAGGCACCACTGTCGTGACATTTTGAATTTGATTTCATTTACCTGAGTGAGCTGAGGGAGGCCGCCGGCGTCCGCCATCTGAGGAAACAAGCGACGGTGCGAAAAATTTTTAAGATGACGACGGTGGGAGAGAAGGAAAGCAAGAAAATCACCTTGAGGAAGGAAGTGGTGGTGGGATCCAGTTTGCTGTTGCATTCCACCTGTCGAGTGACAAACAACCATGAGAAGCGCAAGCGGATCGAGGAGACGGCATGCTGCTCGCTGCACTTACGGCGGCGTCCTCGTACGGCGCTTGGTCCCCCACCACCAACATGACGGGACACCTGAGTGGCCACACAGAGAAAAACATTCAGCATCATCATCATCAGGAGAAATTAGATGACTTGGATTAGGTCATAATAATAAAAACGGTACTTGAAGGTGCTACTGCGGTCCAGGTTCAAATCTCTGCGGCTGTGAGGATAAAGAAGATGTGATTGCTGTGGGTGCCATTTGGCTTTGCATTTGTGTGTGTGTGTGTGTGTTGTGTCAGATGACCTGTTGTAGGTTTTCCAGAAGAGTTCTATGTTGAGCAGGTGAGGTGCTTTGTTGATGCGCTCTCTGTGAAACTGCACCACATCTGCGTTGGATGACAGCTCCTCCTGAAGGGGACCACGCGATACACAATTGGGCGGATGATACACAAACGCGCACCAATTTGGGGTTGTGAGAGGACGGTGCCCAAAATGAACAAAAGAAAAAAAAAAACGGAAATTGAGGTTAGCGTGTCAGAGGAGGAGACAAAGACAATGGCAGCTGGATGGATGGTGTGGTTGTCAAAAAAATAAATAAATAAATCACATGGGCTATCACCTGAGGACCCCAAAATTAAATGCCTTATATAAGCCTTACAATGAAGGCAACACATGCTATATGTATCTATGTGAGCTATATTAGCCTATTATCAAAATGACTAAGTTGGCTACAAATACACAATAAGCCTTCATGATTTCATGTTTTTTTCCCCTGCAGTGCATCCTGTAGAGCAGGGGGGGGGCCCAATCTTTGTTGACCTAAGATCTACTTTTCGATCAACCAACCTGCCGCGATCGACCCGTTACCGGACGCACTTTTTTTCCATTTTCAAACATTTTTGAAAAATTTCCAGGGAGCCCACTAGGGCGGCGCTAAAGACCCACATGCGGCTCCAGAGCCGCAGGTTGCCGACCCCCGGCGGTAGATTGTTGGAATTCCTGAGGAGTATCTTGTGTGCTCCAACATCGAATGTCAACAAGTTGCGGAGCCTTTTCTGACAGATGCGGAAGAAGGTGCCCTATCTCCAAAATGATCCCCATTCTTCCACTGCCTTAGCCACCACACCCAGGGGGGCGACTTATCCAAACCCACTTGACAATGTGTAACTCCACAGTCTGAACTGGATTCAACTAGTATGCGTACCAAAGACTGCGATGGACAGGGAATCGAACAGAACATATTCACAAATCAAAAATGCGTGAGCCAAACATTGATACGTGCGGGCTGTTTGTGAACGAGGCCCAGTGTGAGCGTGTGTGTTTCTGAATAAGACGCACCTGGCTGAAGAGGTGCGACATGATCTGTTCCGTGAGCGAAGAAGTCACAGAGCTGAGCTGCAGACATCGATTGAATAGTTCACCACTGCCAACACGGAGCGAAACAACACCACGAACCATCATGAGTTACCTTTTGAGCCGCCCAGTCCATCCAGCCTCTGGCGTTTGTGTCAATATTGACCAGAACCAAACCTTCCACAGATTCTGGATTTGCGAGCTGCGCACAGACAGAAAGACAGAATGATGCAACGGCCCTTTAAAGGGGATCGGCCCTCGACGCTCACCGTGAATTTCGTCAAGATGTATGCCCCGGCGCCCACGCCCACTCCGATGACGGTACGGAAGCTGCGGGATGACGAGGCCCACGTTAACGCGCCGACACCTTAGCGAGCTAGCCGTGGCGGGCTCTGCTTGTTTTTGGACTTACTTGAAGAACTGCAGGACGGCAGGAATCATCTCTGCGATGGTCTCCATGGATGGGTACTGGTAGCTGTTGGGATAGGTCAAAAACGGAATCACAAACGAGCTTCTAGAAAAGAAACGATCCCGTGAAAATGACAGAATTCAAGTTCACGTGAAGACAAACGTGAACGTGAGCTCACCCCGCCGGGTAAATAGGTGCCCCATCCTCTTGACCCGGGGCATCGATGTGGATCAGGGTAAAATTCTTGACGATCTCTTGCATCTCCTCAAACTTGAATAACGGCAAGAAGCAGCTCTTGCCTGCCAAAGGCAGAGAGAGGCGTGAACAGTGAGCGCGGCCACTTAAAAAAAATATATATCAAAAAACAGCAGCGGCAACGAGTGAGCGACGCACTGTCCAAGCCGACATCGTGGAAGGTGAGGATGGCGGGCCGGCGGCTGTTCCGTGTGCCGTGCAGCGTCACGTGCAGGACGCCGTGAGGGGTCTCCACGCTATGCTCCTGAAAAACGGACGCACAAGAGTTCATGTTCGTCCTGCGCCTCGTCGCACGTTATGATCATGGCGTGTGGCATTCTCACCTGGCCCTGGTCCAGGAGGATCCTGGCTGCCAGCTCAGCATCCTGATGGAAATCACAGAAAGACAAAAGTATCTGTACAGGGGGGCACCTGAACTTCCCTTTGGCCCAAGTAACACGTTTTTCTCGAAACGCGCTGACACCCGGTTGGCTTTTTTGCTGCGAGCCAAAATTTGAAGCTATTCATCAGTTGGGCTCCGGATGGTGGCAGCCAACTCAATGCAACTCATTTCACACCAAGCAGAAATTAGACAGAGAGTGAACAGTTGTGAACAGACCAACCGGCCCCAGTTGACGTTAAATGCCAGAAGTTGTGTAGTCCAAAAAACGACAGAAGTTTGCCTTACACAAAATATGCTAACGCCATAGAGAGTCGAACAAAACTAGCTACAATGTTGTTGTGTTATTGACCGAGATGACTGCAGTTTACTGAGTTTAATATTTGAATTATACTGCACTCTAGTGGCCAAGTCCAGAAGGTGCTGGACATTGAATTCATTAGAATTCAAACGTTATTCTTTAATTTCTACTTAGTTATGCTATTAGTACTGCTGGTTTGCATAAAGTACAATATTGCAGAGTGCTATTTATCTGAAATAAAAACACAGTGAAATATGCCTTGGTGTTTTATTGAAGGGCGAGAACAGATTAATCCACTGCCATTTATTTCAATGGGGAAAGACGAGATACGAGTGTTTTGAGTCACAAGTGTGGTCTCGGAGTCTCGGAACAAATGGACAAGGCACTGCTGTATTCTGACTGGTTGTACTTCCATCTTTTGCCACCGGGAGTCAATAGCGAGAGGTTACAAAGCATCAAGCAATACCGAAAAGACCCCCACCCCCAACCCCCTCCAACACAACTCCCCCAGGGCTTTGACGTCAAACCAGCTGCATCACAGCCAGCCAGCACTGCAGCACATTTGTGTGAATCAAACACACACACACACACACACACACACACACACACGCACACACACGCACACGCACACGCGCACTTAATGTCCTCTAGGATGATACCACACAAAAGCGTGGCAGCTTATTGAAATGCCACGCAGCATGTACAGTGCGCTCACGCGTGCGTGTGTCCTCTCTGACCTTGCTGGAGTCGGCCTGACCAGTGAGCAGCGGTTTGTCCTCCGTGATGGTGATCTCTTGCATCTCCGTTGTCATGGCGATTCGTCCTGGCCAAGCAGAAGACACCAAAACGTCAAAATGTGCTGCTAAACACACACACGCACACGCACACACACACACACACACACACACACACACACACACACACACACACACACACACACACACACACACACGCACACAGTATGTGTTGCAGAGTTCCTGTGGGGGCTCATGAAAGTCAATTAGTGATTAGCGCCAAGCAGAGATGAAAAGAAAAGGTTTTGGGGAATGATCAAGGTCCTTGTCAAGACTTGACATGATTTGGATTGTTGATGTGACCCTTTTTCGAGCGGCTTGAGCTCTATGTCTGCTAAATTGGACGTATCATGAGTTGCGCAGGCAGACGTGCAATTTGTGAAGATGTGCGGCCAGACGTGCAAGATGGTGGTCATATGACCACACTGATAACGCAGATCTTCTGTCTAATCGGCTCCCCCTTACATCCTGTCACGTTTTAATCGGCCTAACGCTCACAACACGGCGGAGCCAGTGAGCGGTTCTGCTGCGTAGAGCCCGCATTCTCTTCTCTACAGTTTGCTATGGGGACACTCGGGCCACACACACTGGCAAGAGAGTAAAAGCAGTCACACACAAGTCCGCCTCCCGGGAGTTACATAGACCGGGGGTTTAAAAAAAACAGCTTGTTTATTTTCTTCCGCATGGAAAACCAATACCAGGCCGGTAATGTTTGCCATCATGGTGCCAACCCCTGTCACTAGGAGATGTGGGACACCATGGCAAGGAATCGATCATGGTTTCAATGGGTCGTATTTGCCAGCAGGATGCCAAAGGGTTTATTTTCTGACACTTCTAACGTACCGGCGGCTGATTCACAATCGGAGCGTTCCTGAGAACGGTGCAGGAAATTGGACTATTAATAGGCAGTTAGGACTGAGAACAGAGCAGCTTTGTGGCCCGCTAGCATCTGGATGCCAGCCAGCGGGAGAAGCATTGAGCACCCCAAGCAACCCCCCCCTCCAGGCCCGTGGCTCTCACATGCACAAACAACAACATCTCACACACGAGGGGTGCGCAGTATATGTGGTTGATGCGGTAGACAGTAAACAGTTGGCCTTCGGTAGACAAACACTTGTTGATAACACAATCATATCAGCCTCTGTGTCAAAACGGAGCTGACATTTTTTTTTTTTTATTTTATGTATTTATTTATTTGTTTAATCTACGCATCCACCTCGAATATTCTCCCGGCTTTCCCGTCTGCTCACAAACTGGGGGAATGCTAGGCACAAAGCTAGCTTGCTCCACTTCAGGCATATGTCAACACGCGCCTGCTACAAGCTACGGTTTGCTAGGTGGTGTGGCTAAATGCTATCCTTCCTTTCCTTTAAGCAACTAATGCTCGCTTCTGTGGCGGCAAATCAGATGACAAGTGCTATCACTAAAGGACAACGAGGACTAACTACTGGGGAAAAAAAATAGAAGGAGCTGGAGAAGCCACGATAACCGCTAAGCTCATGTGAAATGGAGACTGTGAGCAGAGAGAAGAATAAATCTGATACTTTCTGGAAATATTTACATTGTACATTTAAGGAAATCATTCAGAAACGCTTCCAGTGCGAAGTGATTCACTTTACACTTGATATGAATTTTAGACCATATCGCCACAGACTTGTAGATGATGGACTAACAGTTAGCCCCTCGGGACTGAGGGCAGCCATCTTACGTTGCCGCTCTTTCTGACAACTGTCTGATTTGAGCTGAAAACAGTTACCAGTGAACTTCACTGTTTGCATCGACTGTCCATTCAGAGTATCTAAATATGGTGACCTTACAAGGGTTAGTTTTACATTTCACAGCCAATGTTGTCCTCGTGGACTTTACTTTCATTTTGTTGTTGATGGTTCTGACAACATGATGCAGATGAATCTTTGAGTAGCCCTCGCAGGTATACCTGATCAGCGAAAATTTATAATCACATTCTTACCGATGAAAAGTGTGTGTAGTGCTTCTCGCAGACTTACTGGTACAACCGTATGCCACACACTGTGGTATTTTTGCCGTGGGGAGTGAAAAATAATGAGAAAACGCTGCGGTAAAATCGATGCATTCAAGTTAAGTGCGCTTAGCGAGTGGCAACTCAAGACGGCCACCGTTGCCTTAATTTCTTGGTGCGGCGAGTAAGCGGCATTGTTAGTCCATCATACATACCTCTGTGCATATCACCCAGAGTACTTGCTGATCTACCAATGCCAAACAAAGTCTGAGCCAAGACTCTAGTGAGACGGCTTTCCTCACGTAGGCTCCCTGAAGCCGAACACCGACAGAGGCAATCCTGAACTTCAACAGCTCAAATTACAGCAACCCCCAAGACGGACTTTGCAGGAAGTAAAACGACCCCACGCAGTTCGGTACAATGTCAAGAATGAAAAGTGTTAAAGGTCCACAAGCCAGTGACGGTTTCCCTCAAGATCGCCGCTAATGGCTGAGCAAACCTTGCAGGATGAAATGTTACTACAGATCCAGCCAAGAGATCGGGATTTGCTCCAACCCCTGCGCACCTCTTCTTTGCCCAAATCCTGACAACAATTAGAAGCACTGAGGTGAATAGAACTTCAATGGTGCTGCTTTTCACTTTAGACATGGTAGGTGCAACCACACTATCAAGAGAAAACAGCCCTCCCTCTTCAAAGCACAGGTCATCTGAAGGTCAAACAGTGTCCTGGTGAGAAGTAGGCCACAGTTTTTTTTCCCCTTTCGTCAACCATGTTAGCAGGCCTGTAAAGTAAAACAACAGCAAGGTCCCCCCTGCACTTCGTAAGAGGGTGAGTCGCTGTGCATATGTGTGTAAGAGCCTCCAAATGCGGCATGACTCACGGAATGTGCGTGCACGCGCTTGCTGAAAAACAGTCTGTGCACGCGTGCGCGCGTGTGTCCCTTCATCCAAATCAAGTGCAGCGTTTTTCTTTTTCCCCCTCACAGCCGGCTCTGAAAAGGTGGACAACTGAGACACACCCCCATTTGACATTGAAGACCATTGTGTGTTCTGGCCCTAACAGTCCACCCCCCTTTTCCCCCTTCCCCCTACTTCTTCCAAAATGCCTCCCATCACCTCTGGAAAACCCACTAAAGCAAATTTCTACAACAAAAACATAACTTCTGGGAGCTGAGCTCAATTTTATGATGCTGCAAGCGCGTGCACGCTGTTTACTTCAAATGTTCAAGTTCATGCAAGAGGAGAATGTCAATAGTGACCTATTTGCAGCTGTCATGATGGTGGTGGAAGGGGCGGGGGTCGCAGGGGTACTTAACCACGTGTGCGCGTCAATAAACGCACACATGGGAGCTGGACAAAGAGGGTTTCATGGGGGGAGGGGGTACATTGGCATGCATTAATACATATACAAATATCTCTCACGCGCGCGCGCTACCAGTTTGTTCTCATTCATGCGCAGGATCACAGCGACTACATCCGGGTCGTGTTACCTGCTTGTGCGGCGCAACCTTAACGAAACGCCTTATAACAAGTCCAAGTCTGTCCAACGAGCTCCACACGGGTTCTGGTGCCAATAGAGCGTGTCTCAAGTCGTCCGCGATGGTTTCCGCTCCGGTCCTCTCGTGTTTGCCTCTCCAGCGGGAACGGAGTTCTGCAAAAGAGGGAGGGGGCGGGGCTGGCTGGCTGGCTGGGCCCGTCAATCAAAAGGCGACATGGAAAGGACTCTGTGGGGGGTTGCAAGTTCTATGTCCTCACATGCACCACAAAGCGCTCACAGTGGGTTTATTATGTAGTTCGACGGAGGTAAGCGCGTGCATGAACACTGCGCGCCGTGCCCGCGCGTGCTAGTATGAAAAGGGTTTACGCGTCCCGAGGAGCCCCTCCAACCCCCCACCCTTATTTTCAGCCCGACGGTGGTACAGTCCAGCCTTGTTTAGCACGCAGATAAACTATCGTTATATAATATATGATATTAAACCACATAAAGAAATTGGACAATTAATTTTATACAACAATTTGTACATGCATGAAAATATTTTAAATATAGTTTGCAGAGGCTACTTAAAATTTTAATTGCATTAATTTTTTTGTATTACAACAAGAAGAAAAAAAAATAGTACAACTAACAAGAAAAATGCTGGACAAGTCTCAGACTCGAGATATTCATACATAAAAAGAGAAATTAAAAAACAAATGTGACAAATAAAAATGTGGCTTTGAGTTACTAGTAACACCATTTACAGGATTTTTTTGAAATGTATGATATACTGTATATACACAGTATACAGTGTGTCCCCTCCCCAAAATGTATGCGCACTTCAAAACAATAATTGTAAAATAGGTGTTCATTAAAAAAAAAAATATAT